GGGGCGGGGGGGGGGGGGGGGGGCCGGGGGCGGCGCCATCTTGTGGGGGCCGAGCCGCGGGGCTTCGGCTTCCCCGTCAGCTCTGCTCCCGCCTGCGCGCCCCTCACGGCGGCAGCCCCCGCTGTCAATGCCTGGTAGCCTCACAGAAGGGAAGACCGGGCGGATGGATAAAGGGTCGCGACCTCAGACAGCCTAAAATATAAGAGACTGTTTCTGCTTGGAGGTGGAATCGTACTTTGCGCGCTTGGCGGGTGGCTGGCAGCCGGGTTTCTGTTTCTTAGAAATAGCCTGGCTGCGATGGGAGAGTCGAAGGAAATAACGCACGCGTATCGACTTTTAAATGAAGTTTAGCAACAGACTTCTAGAACTGAGGGCCTACTCAAATGCAGACGTTAAAAGTGTATCTTAAAAAAAGATACAGAAAAACAAAGCTTGAGGCTCATCATCTGAAGAAGATAGTATTCGGCATTCTAGGGAGGTTACCGAATCTCCTTCATTTTCTCACGTCATTTTGTGCCTGACAAAAACGTACATCTCTTCAGAACCAAACAGTGCCTTTCCGCTGGTTCCCATGGTGCTCCTGAGCGGCACGTGGTGGAGGAAATGTCGAAGCTGGAATTTTTCCAATTTGTACCCTCAAAGTGTATAAATTCACATCTGTGCTACTACAAACACTTAAAAAAAAAAAATTGCTGTTTCACCTTGAACCTGACTACCTTATATGACTCCTAATTGCAAGAACAGAGGTATGCTGTGCATCCTATTAGCACTGGTCTGAATCAGATGGCTAAATACGGTATTTGTGCGGCATCCCATAACTGAATGAGGATACAGTCTATTTCCTAACATGACATGCTTAAGAAAGCTCCCATATCTCATCGCTGCTGTTAGACAACTGCACCTTCTTAGGCATCGTACATGGATTTATGTATGTCAAATTAATAAAATAAATGATCCAGCCTTGCAAAGAGTTAGTAATTTTTTAAATAACATCTTGTACTTTTTGATCAAATTAGATACCTGTGAGAAGGTTAATAATAATCCTTTTTTCTTCACCCATTCGGTTGGCAAAGTTAGGGTCCCTCTGCATTGGCACTTCAGGAGATCCAACGTGTGCTTTACCAGCTGATTTGCCAAACTCCCCCACTTCCCATGCTTTGGTCCACATCACAGCGTGGTCTCACAACGCGTCAGATAGATTCCTTTTTCAAATGAAACTACCAGACTGCTCCAGGATTCCAGGTCACGGGACCAACCTACAGCTAGCCCAGCTCTTGATGCATCCAGGTACTGGGTTTTCAGCACCAACTGTTTTGCAACACTTACTGTTACCACATTACTTGCCAGGGCAGACGTGGCAATAGCCTCCTCCCTTTTCATCTCCAATCATGTTTTTCATAAGAAGCTATTATACATTATATTTATTTTACAAAAGCTTAATCTGCAACAGCACTCAATCTTGATACGTAGCACTCAGCATAAGTGGAGGTATGAACCGCTGGTTAGTGCATGATAGTTAATTGTTGCTCAACAGAGGGAACACCAGCGTTAATCATCATCATTGCAGTTTTTGGTCATTTCTAGAGGGATGGAACCAAGGGTCAGGTTCTGGTCTCATTCTTAGAGTGCAAATTCAGTGGTCTTTGTTGAATATAAAAATATAGAGATTTTAATTGATCGGTAAGGAAAAAAAAAGGGGGGGACACACGCAGAATTCAAGAAGGAAACCTGAAAGTCTGTACTTACTTTGTCCGGATTACAATCTCTGATTTCTAATCTATACTGGTAAATCTGTCCCATGTAGCTTAATTTTCCCTTTCACTTACCCTCCTATCTCTCAAAGCTAACAAAGAAGGCTTTTAAGTACGGTACTAATTAAACAGATTAGGCTTGCCTAGATACAGGCAAATCCAAAGGGACATGAAAAATATAAATACGGAAACTGGTTTTAGATAAGACCAGAATGACAGGTTTGAAAAAGAAAATTTGATCTAAAAGCTACTAAATCAAATTCCTTCACAAATTCCATTTTGTGTTTTGTTTTTTAATTCCATATCCATTCAGAATTACTTCTATAGGTATGACAAGATAACACCGATTCTGCAAATGCTACTTAGTGGTGTAAACCAATGCTTCTCATGTTGGGTTTTTTTTTCCTTACATAGCAACTCAGTACTACTCATTGAATTAGAATTAGCACAAAATGGTGGCAAAATACTGCATACCCTTAATGTACAGAAGAAATCTGGGCAAGTTAGATGCTTCTACCTTATTCTCCCAAAGTAGGGTCTGATCCCATGAAAGAACAGAAGTGACGCAGAATGATAAAACATACTTTTCCTCTACTCTTGCTCAAGCAGCTAATCGCAGAAATAGATTTAACAGCCACTGCTCTGTAAGTAGTGCCCGGGCTGATAGCAGCAAAAGCAGAAACAGCAGCTTCTTTGTGTTTTACTGAAATTCTCCCCCACCGAAGGGGCAAGGGGTCACTGATTGCATAGTCTTTGCTCCATTGCACACCCTCGGCTATTGTTGAGTCCACTCAGAGAGCAACAGACTGAATGTGCCACACAGCCTTGTAACAGAATCTTCTGTTTTATTATTGCTTGAATTAAGATTCTCAATAAATGTAAAGCACCTGTTCATTTGGGTCAGTGTATATAACATGTTGGGTGAAGACTATATGAAATCCTGCAGCAGAAGTGTATAACTTACACCGGTACCTCTTGAAATATGATAATCTTTGTTACAATCTCCTAATCCTTGTAAAGGGATTTGCATGGTACAGGAAGATTTACAATGTAATGGATTACTATTTCATAATCCGGGCCAAGGGGAAGAAGCTTCAAATATTTACCATTTTTTACTGCGTTTCAAACTTTTTTCCAGATCTGGAGGCACAACACTGGGGAGGCTGTTAGAGAGTGTTCGCACACAAAATATGGTATCAACATGTTACTTGTGGGCTTTGTTTCGTCTGGATTTCCAAGCATGTGTAACTTTATTCTCTACCTGCGTCACTCGTTTGTGACCACAGTACTTTATTCATTATTCAAAAGCAAAGAAAGTATGTTAATAAAAATTGCGTAGGAAACAAATGAAACATTTTTGAGCAAACTATTATTAAATGGCTATGACTTTGCCCTGTGTAAAACATATTAGAAAAAAGAGAGAGAAAATGTTTAAAAATTAGTATTAGGAAACCAAATTACTCCTTAGTCAGTCATGTAGTCAGAGCTCTATTTTTTCAATTTTAACCACTCGAGGTCTCCAACAGAACAGACAACTGCACAGAGCCATGAAACTCAAGACTGAAGACATTCTTTCAAAAGCATTTTCTATCTAGAAAGTCCAAACCTTCTGAAATTTTACACTACACTCCTTGGATACTAAACCCAGCCTGCTACATGTATGTGCCAAGAATGACACTCCCAAAAGCACAGAATATGATCGCAAATACTCTCTTGTGCTCAGTTCTCCCATCCCAGTTTGTTGCATTTTTTATTAAATCAATGATGGAAACTCTTTGTAGTAAGCAGTCTAAAAGCAGACAGGGGCTTTTTCATTACGTCTCTAAGATGTGTAGCAATGAGGAGATTCTCACAAAGCTGTTGCTTCCCAACATCACACAGCAACGAAAAGCGTAGCTGCAGCAGTGGTAGGTGCAACAGAAGGAGGTACAGAAACCTCACATTTTGCAGAGGGGCATCACTGTAAGTAAAACATCATTAATGCCGGTG